GAGAGAGAGAGAGAGAGAGAGAGAGAGAGAGAGAGAGAGAGAGAGAGAGAGGACTTGTCCTTCAGTTTTAGCTCTTGTTTTGGTTTTCGTTTTCTTTTCACAAGCAAGGATGTTCTTTAGGGGCCCAGTGTGTAAGGCTGTACAAACCGGGGGTACAGCAGTCGCCGGCCTCGGATCTTGCCGAGGCAGAGGCGCTGCCTGTGTGGCCACAAATTTCAGACGGGAGACTCGTTACTCCCGTCTGAAATTTGTGGCCACACGGGGAGCGCCTCTCTTCGTTAACAGAGAGGGACCACAAGGGCTCGAACCCACAATATGTCTAAACGCTCTTGAAGAATCTCCCATCGTTAACAGAGAGGGACCGAAGTAGGCATCACGTGGTTAGTGCCCGATTTTAAGAGAATTCCCGCTCAAATAACAGATCCAGAGGCGGGTGCGCTTCTACATGAGCTGCTGTCCATGGAACGATTTTTTTTTTTTTTTTGGGAAAAAGCAAGGAAGTCCATTATCATGAAAACATGAGGCCAGGAATTCCTCACAAACAACCCGGAAAAATCGTAACATTGTACTGGGACTAAAAATATGAAGTGGTACCATAGATGAACCAAAAATGCGAAAAAAGAAATTCACTGGAAAATATGCGAAAAAGGAAATTCATAGCAATATTCGACGTCGATAGCCGATTTTTTCTTTCTTTCTTTTTTTTTTTTTTTGGTTCGCCGATTTCTTTTGGTTGATAAGGGTTTAAAAAAAAAAAAAGTTATAAGATAACATTTGTAAATCGGAAGTTCGCGTGCTGCTCACGAAGAGAAGCCGACCACATTGTCTACAGAGGGCCTCGCCACACCACTGTGGAAAGGGGAAAAAAAGTATGAGTGCATCTTCCTCACAAAGTGGCAAGATGCATCGATTACTATTCATATATAGTCAGTGAGGGGATTCTGCAGACTGACGAGGGTTCAGCCTCCTGATGAGTCGGTGAAACTCCGACGAAACAGTTTGTCACAGCCCCTCGTTTGTTGTCCTCTTCTCTCTCTCTGCCTACGGTTTACCGGGCAGTTCTATTTGTGACGATATATAGCAAGGGATGCATCTTGCGGCTATCTGAGGGAACATGCACTTGAATTTCTCGTTTCGACAGTGATGAGACGACGCCCACACTCTTGAAAATTTCCCACCATCGTTAATAACAGAGAAGGCCCAAAATAGGTATCTACTATCTGCTGTGTAGATTTAGAGTCCTATCTATCTGTGTCTTTATAAAGGCAGAGGGCTCCTGTGTAGATTTAAGAGTCCTATCTATCTGTGTCTTTATAAAGGCAGAGGGCTCCTGTGTAGATTTAAGAGTCCTATCTATCTACGTCTTTATAAAGGGCAGAGGGCAAATTGTTGTCTTTATAAAGGGCAGAGGGCAAATTGCTGGCCCACAAGTAGACACGCACCACTTCCGCAAAAGAGGAACCCTCCCATCGCAATGGCATATTCCAAAGAGGGAACGGTATAATACGTAATTAGTATGTATTCTTGGAACGATAGTTGTGTATATAAACGAAGGGGGTAGAACCCGAATAAAATCAGGTATTACTTAAGTAATACGGCAGCATTATGATGAATCCACGAAGATCAAGATGTGGAACAGACAGCTCAGCTCAGACTGATTGCAAAACAAACACAGGCGACAGATGTCGTGATGAGGCAAACAAGGGTTCGAACCCGAACAAAAATCAGGCACCCACACACTTTGAGAGAGTTACGGGAGAATCAGGCAAGAATCAGGCACCCACACACTTTGAGAGAGTTGAAAAAAGGCGGGAGAATTGAGGCACCCACACACTTTGAGAGTTAAAAAAGGCGGGAGAATTGAGGCACCCACACACTTTGAGAGAGTTAAAAAAAGGCGGGAGAATTGAGGCACCCACACACTTTGAGAGAGTTAAAAAAAGGCGGGAAAACAGCAGCGTGAGCTTTCCAACTGTTCAACGAGATGGTGGAATCCGACGATCTCGTGATGAGGGGAACGAGGTCTCGAACCCGAACCAAAAAAAATCAGGCACCCACACTTTGAGAGAGCAAAAAAAAAAATAGGCGGGAGAACAGCAGCTTGAGCATTCCAACTGTTCAACGAGATGGTAGAATGTGGGCGAGGAATCAAGAAGATGTCGATGGTCCTCCCAACGTCCAATATACGGCCTGCCTGTTTGACGAGGAATGGCGACTAACGAATGGGGGCGGGGGGGGGGGGG